TTCCATGTTATCCTTATGGAGATGAAGTAAACTGTTGTAGTTTGCTTGTTTATGGACATATTTTGATCAAATTTGGAAAATGTTTTTATTTCTTACTACTGGTAACTAGGTGGTGTTCGCAAAGGCATCCACAAAATTGAGCGGAGTCATCAAGGGTTCATATTATATTGCTTTTGTCATACTGCAGTAAAAACAGTCGTTTTAATGCATGCGTTGTGGGTCTACAGTAGCATTTTTACTCTTTAGGGAATAAAACTCTATGGAGTAAAACTCAGCTATTGTCAACTCAGTTGGAAATTTCGATTGTGAACGATCGAATGTATAAAAAAAAAGTATCGATTCCGTGCTTCATAATCATTTTAACCTACTGTCTACAGTCTCTTCCCATAGCATTTTAGCATTGCAGATACATTATTCCATTCCCACACTCAACACTGCTCACCTTTACTACTTCTTTCACCACCCCCTACGTCGTGGACCTGTTTCCCTCTCTTCCCATAGCTTTTTAGGATTGCAGATACGTTAATGTATTTGCTAAAGACAGTTCCCACACTCTGCACTGCTAGCCTTACTACTTCCTTCACCATTACCTACGTCTTAGACCTGTTTCCTTCCCTTCTCATAGCATTTTAGGATTGAAGATACATTAATCCAACTGCCACAGACGGTTCTCACACTATGCTCATACTTTACTACTTCCTAAGCCACTTCCTACGTCGTGGACCTGTTTTGATCACTTTCCATAAAATTTAGTGTTTTAGATACGTTAATCTAATTGCCACAAACATTCCACACACTCCGCACTGCTAGCCTTTACTACTTCTTTCACCATTTCCTATGTCGTGGGCATGCTTCCAGTCCTTCCATAGCATTACAGCATTGCAGATACATTAATCTAACTGCTACAAACGGTTTCCAGTTCCCACACTCCACACTGCTCACCTTACTACTTCCTTCACCTCTTCCAACGTCGCGGACCTGTTTCCCTCTCTTTCCATAGCATTGTAAGATTGTAGAGACCTTAATCTAATCGTCAAAAACAGTTCCCACCCTCCGGACTGCTCGCCTTTACTACTTCCTTCACCACTTCCTACGTCACGGACCTGTTTACCTCCCTTCCCATAGCATTTCAGGATTGCAGATACCTTAATCTATCGTCATAAAAAGTTCTCACACTCCGGACTGCTTGCCTTTACTACTTCCTTCACCACTTCCTACGTCACGGACCTGTTTCCCTCCCTTCCCTTAGCATTATTGGATTGCAAATTCCTTCATCTATTGGTCATAAACAGATCCCACACTCCGAACTGCTCGCCTTTACTACTTCCTTTACCACTTCCTACGTCACGGACCTGTTTCCCTCCCTTTACTTAGCATTTTAGAATTGTAGATATCTTAATCTAATTGTCATAAACAGTTTCCACACTCCGGACTGCACGCCTTTACTACTTCCTTCACCACTTCCTACGTCACGGACCTGTTTCCCTCCCTTTCTATAGAATTTTAGAATTGCAGATCTAATCGTCATAAATAATTTCCACAGTCCGGACAGCTCGCCTTGACTACTTCCTTCACCACTTCCTATGCTGTCGCGGACGTGTGTTCCTCCCTTCCCATAGCATCATAGGATTGCAGATACCTTAATCTAATCGTCACAAACAGTTCCCACAGTCCGGAATGCTTGCCTTTACTACTTCCTTCACCACATCCTACATCACGGACCTTTTTCCCTCCCTTCCCATAGCATCATAGGATTGCAAATACCCTAATATAATGGTCATAAACAGATCCCACACTCCGAACAGCTCGCCTTTACTACTTAATTCACCACATCGGCACTTCCCACGTCGCGGACCTGTTTCCTTCCCTTCCAATAGCATTTTAGGACTGCAGATACCTTAATCTAATCGTCATAAACAGTTCCCACACTCCGGACAGCTCACCTTGACTACTTCCTTCACCACTTCCTACGTCCCGGACCTGTTTTCCTCCCTTCCCGTAGCATTTTAGGATTGTAGATCCCCTAATCTAATCGTCATAAACAGTTTCCACCCTCCAGACTGCTCACCTTTACTACTTCCTTCACCATTTCCTACGTCAAGGACCTCAAGTTATTGTCGTCATTTGGTTATATTTATGATCCATACCGTTCCTGTTCTAATATCTGTGGAATAATGCTCTCAGCTATTTCATTAACTACTGAATTCAAAAGCAAACAGCTGATCATATGTCTTTGTTTATGTGTCAAATACTGCTTCCATAAGGATTACATTGAAACTTTGAGACCCAGTGGGGCGGATTCCTGAGAGACTTTTTTAACGCCATATAGATGTTGGCACTCACCGGTATGGTCTTTATCACCATGCAAAATTTGAAACCAATTGATTCAGCCGTCTAGGAGGAGTTTGCGTATTACGAAATGCATAAGAGTCGACGTATAAGAGCTTCGCTCGCTCCGCTCAACTATTAACATTATACAAAAAAACAGTTTTATCCTCCCTGATGCAGCAAACCTAAGTACTTGTTAAACTAATTCTATTTAACCCTCCAAGTGTCCATAGTTTAGGCCTTAATGTCCACCTATTTTTGGCGCATTTGCAAGGTTTTATTAAAACGGATCTGAGAAGCTTAAAACAATGTTAATTCTAATGTTCTATATACCATTTTGTTTGGAAAATCATGGGCTTCAATACTATATATAAAACATAAGGAACATTAAAAAAAAAAAAAAATGTTTAGGTAAAAAAAATATAATTTCGAAAATTTTCAAAAAAAAAATAAGTTCGCGCTCAATGAAATTGTATAAATTATAGGCCTATAAATATTTGAAAATAGCCACTTTGTTCTAAATTTTATGAGGATTACAAATATATAATAATATAAGGAAGTAGATTTGCAAATAAATAAGTTATGGGCAAAAAACAGATTTCAGTACATAGCGTTTAGCTAAGAATGCATAGCCTAACCATAGCTAGGAATCTGGCTGATAATATACATCAATATCACTACCTACTTCTTCAGGATCATCAACCAGCACTTCAAAACCACTTAAATCTTCTTGTAATGCAACACGTATATCACTACTTTTGATTTTTAACACTAAAACAATGATAAACGTAATAAAACACATCAGTCATCGGTCGGAGGGTAACCTAGCTGTTTACAAATACACGCACGTCAGCTGTCTGCTACATATTACGATCGGCTCAGATAACGTACACGTACAGCGCTGAGACAGACCTCTGGAGAAAGCTTAGAATGAAACGGAAAGAACGATACCTAACTCGATCCAGTTCAATCCGATTCAGTCAGTTATAGAGCCTTCGCCGTAAACGATGTCTGCTTGTCGAAAAATCGACAAGTAACACTACACAAAGTAGGGATGGACGGGATTGAATTTTTAGTTCGGGACGGGACGGGACGGGATTTTTATTTCCTTCCCGACTTTCGGGACGGGATTTTTTTCTGTGCATAAAAAGAAAGTACTGAATTGCAGTTACGAAAAAAAGACATACGAAATCAATTTTTACCATTTGTGGCACTGATCTATAAAAACCAAAAAATGGGTAACAATTTAAAGGTACCTATAGTAACTTGTGACTCGCGGGTCACGGGGTTATCGTCTGTATGACTCACGGTCACGGCGAGATCGTCGTCATGACTCGCGATCACGGCGCGATCGTCGGTATGACTCGCGGTCACGACGCGATCGTCGTCATGACTCGCGGTCGCGGCGCGATCGTCGCCATGACTCGCGGTCACGGCGCGATCGTCGGTATGACTCGCGGTCACAGCGCGATCGTCGGTATGACTCGCGGTCACAGCGCGATCGTCGGTATGACTCGCGGTCACGGCGCGATCGTCGGTATGACTCGCGGTCACAGCGCGATCGTCGGTATGACTCGCGGTCACAGCGCGATCGTCGGTATGACTCGCGGTCACAGCGCGATCGTCGGTATGACTCGCGGTCACAGCGCGATCGTCGGTATGACTCGCGGTCACGGTGCGAACGTCGGTATGACTCCGCGGTCACGGGGTTATCGTCGGTATGACTCGCGGTCACGGCGCGATCGTCGGTATGACTCGCGATCACGGCTCGATCGTCAGCATGACTCCACGGTCACGGCGCGATCGTCGTCATGACTCGCGATCACGGCTCGATCGTCAGCATGACTCCGCGGTCACGGCGCGATCGTCGTCATGACTCGCGGTCACGGCGCGATCGTCGGTATGACTCGCGGTCACGGCGCGATCGTCGGTAGGACTCCGCGGTCACGGCGCGATCGTCGGTATGACTTCGTCTCCTGCGTTCGCGGACCTATCGCTCGCAATAACGGCGTTATCGGCACTCGCGAAGCGGAAAAATCGCCGACGATCGGACCAAATCCCGTCCCGAAAAATTCCCGAGTCAAATGTAATCCCGTCCCGATAATCGGGAATATTTTTTTCCCGAAAAATTCCCGAAATTTCGGGACCCGTCCATCCCTAACACAAAGTGTGCTGCTTGTCGAATTTTCGTCAAGTAACACTGGGAGGGTTAAATAGGAAATAAATGTTATATTTTCAAGTAGACATTTTAGTGTAAATCCAATCAGGCAAATGGAAATTCGCTTAGTCTGCAGGTTTGCTGCGGCAGAGGGTATTTTTTTTGCGTCTGTCTGTGTGGATGTTATTACAATTTTTGTGTTACATTATTAAATATCACAACACCGACAACCTATAAGAACAAATAACGACTCTACGAGTGAAGAAGGAGCTTGTGGTTCCAAAAATGATATGTGTTGTGGTTTCATTTGTGCATTTACATATAATTTTGTTAGTAAGGTAAGCCTGCTGTTGAACCTATCCACTACAATATCCTTGCTATCTCTACGTAAAAACTCATTGAGTATTTTCAATCATATCCAATTTCCCAAAAGACTATTTTTGAATCCAATTTACAGTAATTTTGAATAGTATAAAATCATAGAGAAATAATCAACTTTATTTTCCTATTATAGGTCCATTATGTGATATTCTACAAATGCTATTAACAGCGATTTTTGAACTTCAAGAAGGAGAGGATGATGAAATACGCGATGATTCAGATCTAAAATCCTCAGGTTTGTAATTAAATAACCATCCTAAATTTATATTTAACAAAACAACCATTATAGTAAAACCTACACCACACTGTATGATAAAAAAAATTATTTTACAGTTCCTTGTTTATAATATGACTAGATTATCTTAAGAATTATTTGCAGGAGGGGCAATTTAGTAGACTTGTGTGTGTGTGTGTTTGTATATATATACACACACACAACACAACAATATATATATATGTATATATAGTTCCAGACCAACATGGTTAGGCGGCCATTACGCTTGAATTGTGCAGGGGGTGGCGGCCACGACACTAAAAAGCGGCCACCTGTATGGAAAGGCGGCCAGGGCTGCCTACCCCCTAATATTACACTTTTATTTCACATAGTACAGTGCTGCTACCTAGGCTTAGTTTCAATCCATTCTCCCTCGAAATGCTTTGGCATTTCACCAGTGCATTTGCCTTCACCTCATCTGATAGATATAAAAAGTTTGTTTTAAGGAAAATTCCAAAATATATTACGCTTGGAGATAGGTCTATAACTCTCGCCTTATGTCTGTCTGATTTTAACTATCAATTAGCCTAACCTAACACAATTAATTCTAAAATAAAATTAGTGTTAAAAACATATTGATTTAAAATATATTTAATTCAACTTAAGATAATCATATTGTAAAGCAAATATGTATGTATGTTAAGGTAGAAGAAACCCATGTTTGAAACAAAATTCATCTCGATCCAACTTAAATGTTCAAATGACGGCTATTTTTAACTTTTTTACTTAAAGAAGGCCTACTCGAAATTGGCTGATTTTATGAAAAAATGTCAAGAACACTTTTACCTAGCAATTTTAGTTCCCTATCAATCAATACCAAATTTAAAAAGATCTAATAAGAAATAGCTGAAATATTTCGGTTTTTAATTGTAAAATGGGGTAGAATAAGGCAGACGCTAGGTAGGTTTGTCCCATTCAAAACCCGTAATATTTCAGCTATTTCTTATTTTTTGAAATAGTGCCACAGTGTTTCAACAGAGTGCAGCACAGAAAACTATTTTACTTTTGAATAAGTTCAAATGTATTAAACCCCAATCGCAGCACACCTGTGCACTTAACAACGTTTAAATTCTCCAATGTTAAATATTAAAAGATAAAACCTGTTATCAAAGTATTATAAACAATAAAAGGGATGACTTTTTTAAATTTATGACAACAGCTAATTTGCAACCAAAAGGTGAGTGAGCGTAGCGAACGAACATCAACCTGGAGGCGAGTTAGCGTAGCGAACAAGCTAACCTGAAACGCGCCATGAACTAGGGCTAGTCGGACTTGTAGGGCTTTAATAATTAAAAGGCACATCTTGGTTGCTCGACATCTTGGTTTATTCTGACTACTAGGTGAACCCGTGCGAATTCGCACGAATAATAAATTAGGATATTATAGCAACGTCGTTAGAAGTTGCGTCGTTGAATCGACGTTGGTCTTGAGCTCGATCGTAGGCTATATGCATTCTAAGTTCTTTTTTCTGTTCAGTAGGAGTATTTTGCAGGACGGAGCTCATCAAGCTGAAAACTTGCGCGTATGGATTAATATCAACCAAATGTTGGTCAAAATGTGCATCAGTTCAGTGCTGCAAGAGCCATTAGCTTTTTTTTAGCATTCTTTCTTGAACAGCGGTTTCGACGTCTGTAGATATAAATTTGGGCATATGTGGGATGCTCCCCTTCTGACGTTGAAAGTTGCCATTTAGTGATAAACTTTGTATTGCACCTTATACATGAAAGGCTCTCCACCATTATGTTCTTCAATTTTAGCTCGAGTGCTGACCATTGCGAGCGCAGAGTTGTATGATCTAATGTTCTCTTTGTAGTTTCTGCTTAAATGATTTGCTCCATTTAGTAGGCTCTGGATATAATAGATTTCTCGGTATGGTGGTAGATTCACTTTTCCTTTCTGGCAGCAGGATGAAAATCCTTCGCCTCGTCCTCTTTGTTGTTCTTTAAAATGTAGCGAACCACATTTCTGACATTTTAATGCCATCTCGCAAGTGAATGCTGCTGAATTCTTGTATTTGTCAGTGTAATTTTGTAAGTACACGTTGCCACTAACTGTTCCAGCTCCTCGTCTGGGCTCCTTACGTTTTGCATTGCTTGCCGTATGTTGAATCGCCGTGTCCGACTGGCAATAATTCTTTGTCGTCGGGTCTTTGGCATGTTTAAACGAAAATATAATGTAAAACATTTCTCCCGTCGTGTCCTGTAGGAAACATTTCTTTGCCGGGTTTCTAATTATTTAAACATTTAAACTGTTTACATTTCAAAACCAAACGAAACAGCTGGGATTTAATTTTCTTTAAAAACTAATGTATTGACATCTGTTTCAGAATATAATAACATTCAAATCAATCACAATGTTATCCTTATGGAAGGAACTTTGAGGGTAGCCTACACCCTTAAAAAGATATATTTCGAAAATCTAAAGCCAGTTTGCACATCTACACACCTAGACGAACATTTTGGTATATAATATGTGGGGTTAAATCTTGAAACAAAAAAGCCTTATTGTTCACAAAGTTTCATGTCGCGTATTAAATATATAGATTCTGAGCAAGAGCCAACGGCCCAAATGCATGGAGTAATATATGAAGTAATAAGAAACTTACAAGTCATAGTTGATCATGTACTGTATAAAAACATTACTACACTGTGTATATTTTAATAATCTGTCATCCTCTTACTGAATAAATGAACTTATAAATAATTATAGCATTACACATAGTATAAATAAGTCAACCGTCATTTCATTTTTATCCAAATGCTGAATTTGTAAAACAAACGCCAATTGTTTACAGCTGTTACGTTAAACAAATGGTATTATACCAAAAGCTAGTCTGGATTGTTAGCGTTGGCTGTTAGATAAAAAAAATGTAAACTTAATTTCTAAAAAGCTGAAACCCTAAACTAAAATTATGGCTTCAACATTCCCTAGTTCTCAAAATTATTTTTCTTTCAACACAAAAATCATGAAAGATCCATCAAGTGGTTGATTAAGAAATGTGAAAAAAACCCTGCCATATTCCCGAACGGGCGAAATCGTGACACCATTCGACACAGGAAAAATTGTTTTCCTTATTTTTGTTTTGTTATACAAGTACTAGCTGTACCCGCGGGCTTTGCCCCGTTTTACTTCATAAGTGAGCTCATTCGCATGGCTCAATCACGTCCTGGTTGAAGTTCGTTCGCTACGCTCACTCACCTTTAGGTTGGAGCTCGTTCGCTGCGCTCACTTGTGTTCAGGTTAGCTCGTTTGCTACGCTAACTCGCCTCCAGGTTGAAGTTCGTTCGCTACGCTCACTCGCCTTTTGGTTGCAAATTAGATGTCTGTAGTCATAAATTTAAAAAAATAATAGTGTGCTGCACCCTGTTGGTAATCCTTGTAACTTAAATGCTAATTGCACATCATAGAACAGAACCAACTTGTTTAATTGAAACAGCTGTTAAGATTCATTAATTCCATTTAAATATGAGTACTCATAAGTTTAACATGGGAAACTCCAGAGCCACTGGGGCGGAGCCCGAGAGTCCGATCAGAATAAAAATAGCTTAGTTTTCCTATTTAATGCCTAAAGAATCAGTGTACCAAATTTCAGCTTCCTAGGTAAATGGGAAGTGGGAGAATTAGTGATGAGTGAGTCAGTGAGGGCTTTGCCTTTTATATATATAGATACATAAAATAAACACAATGGAACACTTGTCTTCATACTGTCAAAATAATTTTTTACTCGTTTTTAACTATGCGGAGGTATACGCTACCTGTCCACGGATGAGTAGAAAAGCAGCGGATATATCCGCCACCCGTCTTTGAAGTGTTGCGTTTTTCTTCTTATTAGCCTAATTTAAATTTTGGAGGAAAATTTTAATTAATTTGTCTTAATCTCAGGGTTGTTTTTACTTGTCTAACTTAAATATTAGGGTGCGTGGTGGAGCTGTGTGAAAATGATAACTTAAAACATAATTACAGAAAGAGTTATTTAATGTTTTGAATTTAGAATCAATTACAATAATTTTACAAAGCCCAAGGTATAGTTTAAATTAGGGATGGACGAGATTGGATTTTTAGTTCGAGACGAGACGAGACGAGATGAGATTTTTTATTTCTCATAAAATTTCGAGACGAGATCGAGACGAGATTTCTCTTCTCATACACAACGGGAAATGCACGTTCGAAATTTTTACCTGATTTTGTAACATTGTTAGATGACTGTTTAAATACTAAAATAATGATAATAGGCAAGAATATTTACAATCTTTCATTAAATAACATCAGCATAACATTTTTTTATTAATCACGCCTAACTTATTAAAAATGCCTACGATTAGGAAACATGGTGATATCAGTTAGGATAGAGTTCAACTTATCCTAAAATAAAATAAATCATAAAATAAAAGCAATATTAATTTTTATAAAATAGTTACTTGTTTTGACTTTTTTTATAGTAATAAAACATTCCTCACACTGCTTACACTTAACAAAACTTCTCAAATGTTATTAAAGTAATATTATTAAAATAATGAAAGTAATATTTACATTAAAAGAATTAAAGTAATATTTACATTAAAAGAATTAATTAAATAAGAACGCCTTCGAAAAGGAAACGCAACTACAACACGCTCCTGTATTGCGGGTATTGCATTGACTTTCTGCAGGCGTTTTTAATTTTTTTTTTTTTTTTTTTTTTTTTTTATTCTCGTCTTGATAAAAATCTCGGCCAAAAAGTAATCTCGTCTCGTGTAACGAGATTGAAAATTTCCCGAAAATTTCCCGAAATTTCGAGACTTGACCATCCCTAGTTTAAATACAATAATAAAGTTAGCCTAGTTTATGATAAATTAATCTAACTTACATTATGGATGGGATAATTGAGGTTAAACCTACACCTGACTTAAACTATATGGGAAAGTTATCATAGAATTTATAGTGAAGTCTTGTATTAATAACTTAGATTGTTATAAAAAGTT